CATGACATTTAAATATAAAGAAAGTTTAACATAGATTATACAAATTAGAAATAATAAATACAGTAAAATCATGAAAGCCAGAATTCCACAAAATTCTATAAACTTTCCAATTACAGCCAGTTAGTTAAACTTTCCAGGCATGATGAAACAAGAAAGTGATCATTGCTTCAAAAGTGAACATACATTTTTATCAATTTTCAGTCTAGATATAGTATTTGCTACATTCATTAAAATAACTTCAAAATAAAAGAAAAATGATGCAAAAACATTAATTTATACAGTATATTCTCAAATGAAAAAGTAAACTCTTCTGTAAACAAACAACATTGCTAAACCTGATATACTATAAAGCTAGGTACCAACCAATGCCGAATTCTATCAGGCTAGACATGACTATATTACTAAATAATGCAACCAATTTGGCACTAGAGGGAGGTGTTAGGCACCATCTCTTAATAACTTTAATAATTATAACTTCTAAAATTATTTAAATTAACAATTAAAACTACTGGAAGAAAATAATTTTAGAACTATTTATTTAGTAATATAGCCATGTCTAGCCCTATAGAATTTGGCATTGGTTGGTAAACTCTTCTAAGTGAAACATTTTTGTGTTTACCAAAAATAAAGATTTTTAGATGTCACCTTAGGTGCTTGCTCAAATTTGATACTTTGTAACAGTGCTGTAATTAGTTTTGTTTTAGGCCCTGTGTCTGTGCATCTGTTGTACCTACCTAGTTACAACTCTGCTCTGAAGCTCTTTTTACATTTATCTTAGTCCTAAGTAACAGTGAACTATTCAACATTTTCAGAAATATATTTTTTTATTGTGTCAATGCATTAGGAAAGAAGAGCAATCTTCTCACTCTTTTAAACCAAAGAGAACTTACATTAGAAACACAAATATTTAAAATATGGCATAAATGCAGACAGAATTAGTAAACATAATAATAATTTCTGAAGTTTCTGCTGAAATTTAGCACAAAATCAAATAGAGCAAGTTTATTGTTTTTACACACTGAAAAGTTTTCTTATTAAAGTGTAGTATTTATTTAATCCACTAATATTTATACAGTACATTAAAATAAATTTTATTGTATATAATTTTAGGACACCTCTAATGTTAGCCTGTACTAAAGATAATTTAAAAATTATTCAATGTCTTATTGAAGCTGGAGCTGATCCAAAACTTCGAAATAAAGATGGATGGAATTCTTTTCATATTGCTTGTAGGTAAGACATAAAATCATTTTATATATACTATTACAGAAAACTATAGTTTCTGTATAAATTGAATCAAATTATATTATTAAAACTCTTCAATTTTTGTTTCAAATTTTATTGAGATTTTACAGATCTGTTTTGTCAGTCCTATATTTTTCTAAATATTATTTATGCAGCTATTTTTTCTGTTAATAATTTACATTACACAATGATACAGTTTCATGAAAAATAGTAATTAAGGTAGGACATGCTTTAATGGAGCATGAAAATTCTAAAACATTGAACAAAAATGTTCTAGCACTTTTAAGCTTAATGCTCATCTTCAGTAATATAGTAGAATAAAATAAGTTCTGTTGCTATGGAAGCAATGCCAACGACACATTGAAGAAATTTCTTCAATGCTTTTAATAACTTTATGTATTATATAATTTTAATATTTAAACTATGAATTAAATTAACAACATTTTTAACAGTATAATAATAATAATAATTCATTTAATTAATGTTAATGAAATGAAATTTTTTTAATAATTTAGAGAAGGACACTTGGATATTGTTACTTATCTGTTAAAGCTAGAACCATTACTTTGTGACAACATAAGTAATAATGGACGAACACCTTTACATACTGCTGGTTAGTAATACAATAGTTTATTAATTAAATTATTAAATTTTATTCATGTGGATTTTAAATATTTTTGTTAAATATTAGATTATTAAATTGATACATTGATTTTAATAAAGTTTATTTTTTGTATACTTCTTAAAATTTAGAAGGTATGGTGCTGTATCTTCAAATTCTGTGTGTAGCATCTTTGCAATCCAAACAATAATTTTGGTAGTGCTGTAATTTTGGTAATTTTGCTGTTTGATCGTCTACAAAAATTATTGTTTGGATTGCAGAGACACTACACACAGAATTTATTTTTTGTGTCTTAAAAAAATAGATGATACTTTTAACATTAGTAAATGAACATAGAGAAAACATGAAAGATATGCTTATATTATTAAAATCTCATATTTTATGCTTTATTTATAGTATTAGGAAATGAAGAATAAAAAAAAATTAAGAACCATAGAAAAATTAAAAGTTAGCAACAGAACTATTTGAGCAGAAAAAAAATTGTTTCTAATGTGACTGAAAGCTAATTTTTCAAAAAGTTTATAAAGTGACTGTATTATTGATAAAAAATATTAAATAAAGCTATGTAAGGGAAAGAAAGACAATGATAATTTCGTTTTAAACTTTAAATCAATGCTTTTTAAACTAAATTATGTGGCAGACTAGCAATGCTTTTCCAGTACCATATTTTTATCATATTACTGTATGGTAAAAATACAAGTAAAATGGCAAAGCCCTTTTTGGGCTGAAACTATGTCTTGGACTATGTTCCACTTTCAGTGTATGACCATATGGATTTGTGTTAATTCTGTTTAAAAAAAGGTTTGTATCTGGTTTATTTTGCCAAATAATGAAGATAACATTTATGTATCTGTTATATAATGTGATGTTTTGAGCAAATTCTGGTGTTATTTTGTTTTCTAGTTTACCCAGAACTAATTCACAGAGGTCCCAGAAAGGGATTATCCATTGGTACACCTTTCTGTTTTATGTAAATACTATTGTTGAATTTAAAAATGATGTATAGCTTAAAATATGTGCTATTTCTAAAATCTTATGATGCAAACCATCAGATCCTACCTTTCTCAATAAAAAATTTCTTAATGCACAAAAACATTAATTCAGTTCGAATGTAGAAAGCTATAAAATGAACATTCTAAATGAAACACGTGAAGCAGAACAGTCAAGCTGTTCAAAAACATTTGTTATTTGTAATATACTACTGGAATAAAACAAAGGTTATCTGTGTGATTATTATTTGTACATTTTTCTAGTTTGAATTTTCTTTCCTTTTTTTAATTGACATAATTATCAATATTATAATGTTTGATTCTGGAAAATGTTATTATTAATTACTGTATTTGATTTCCTGTAAACTCTGGATTGGCAGCCAATGGCTTGTGAACTTCTACTGGTCCATGTATTATTTTGAATAGCACTGCTTTAAATGATTCATTATATAAACTGTATGTTATCTAAATTAATATCTAAAATTTTTTCTAAAAGACATTCTAAATATTTCAGCACTTCATGGAAAATTACATGTGGTTAATTTATTATTGGACAAAGGATCTTTTAACATAGATGTACAAGATAGTTGTGGAAGTACACCTTTTATGGATGCTTCTAGATCTGGACACACTGAAATTATGGAATTATTAATAAAATATCAGGTAACTGAGATAATTATTTTCAAGAAAATAGAATTAGTATTAAATGTTTAAAGTTTTATATTTCTAAACTTTCAAATAATGCTATATTTATCATTTTTCAAATGAAATTCATTTAATTTCTTCAAGTGCTAATTTTTAAAAGGAAATGTTTTTAAGATATTTGTTCTTTCAGCTTCAGCAACATAGAATAAATAATAACCAGAATAAATTCTCTGAAAGACAGAATTGCATGGAACAAATCTTAAAATGTCAATATTTTATTTCTAAGTTAATTTACTATACAACATTACCATAATCTGCATTAAATACAAAATGAACACATTCACAAACTATTTTACAAAAGTATAATACAAGATAGAGATAAATATAAATTTATTCTAATGTTTTAATATCTCTCTTCATTCTGTTTTTAATGTTCAAGAAAGAGAATATGAATCAGGAATTTGTGAAATATTAACAGATCAGTTTTTCTACCTATATTATATCTTGTGAACTTGATTTATGAAGTTTTTAATATAAATTTTGATATTCTCTAAATAAATTACTTCCTAATATCATCATCATATAGACCAGTGGTTCCCAATTAGTTTTTCTTACGTACCACTTCTAGAAAGAGCTAAAACTCGCATACCCCTTATAGCAGAAATCCATATTAATCCACACTAATATTATAAATTCGAAGGCAATTCTGTCTGTCTGTTACCTTTTCACGTTTAAACCGCTAAACAGAGATTTTAATAAAATTTGGCACAGAGATAGCTTACATGTTGGAGATGGACATAGGCTACATTTTACTGCGAGAAAATATCTTACTCCCACGAGAAAATTTGATATAATGTGAGCAAAGCTGTGGGTAGACAGCTAGTGATAAATAAAATAAGTTTTTTTTTACATTTATTATTTTTAAAATACAATTCTAATAATAATGAAAATAACATAAGGTTATTTAATTTTAATGTGACAAATGTGCATGATTTTCTTTGCACAACTTTGTAAAATCTGGTTGCTTTTTGGTCAGCTTCAGTCTCGAGTCATCTTTGAGTCGAAGTTAGTGACGATGTTTAGTTTTCATGTTTGTCACGGCCAAAAATCCGCTCTCGCAAAGGTATGTTGTGCAAAATGGTAGTAAATATTTTATTGCCGCTTCGCTGACATCATAAATTCTAACTCGATTTAGAAGCGAGATGTCGCAACTGATTATTAAACTCAGTGAAGTCTCATTATACTCTGTGAGAAGTCACATTGTCACGCGCGAGTAATAACAGCGACAAAAATTTTCAAAATAAATTTTGCGAAAACAAATTGTGTTAATTGTACAATTTTTGTTTCTTGCGTAAGAATTTCATTTAGGTATTGTCACAAATGCATTTTTTTGATGAAANTTGTCACGCGCGAGTAATAACAGCGACAAAAATTTTCAAAATAAATTTTGCGAAAACAAATTGTGTTAATTGTACAATTTTTGTTTCTTGCGTAAGAATTTCATTTAGGTATTGTCACAAATGCATTTTTTTGATGAAATTTCAAGAATATTTTTAGTTTGAATAAACAAATTTGTGCATTTGACATCGTGTTGTAAATTGCCAAATTTTTGATGGTCCACTTTTTTGATTGCTTCATCTCATGCATTTAAATTTTAAATTAACCAATTTTAGATTGCCATGCGTACCCTTTCATGCAATTTCGCATACCCTCAGGGGTACGCATACCACTAATTGAAAACCACTGATATAGACAAAATAAATATCAATTGACTTGATTTTATTCCTGTTTTTATTTCAGGCTTTTTGATTCAATGCTTGTTTGTCTCCATCTTTNTGCCATGCGTACCCTTTCATGCAATTTCGCATACCCTCAGGGGTACGCATACCACTAATTGAAAACCACTGATATAGACAAAATAAATATCAATTGACTTGATTTTATTCCTGTTTTTATTTCAGGCTTTTTGATTCAATGCTTGTTTGTCTCCATCTTTGACAAGTTTTAAATAATAGAAATTAATAATGGGAATATAACCAGGTTTATTTTTCAGTTGGATCATACTGGTAGACAGCATAAAAACTTTCAATAGAAAGTACTGTACATAATACTAGTGAAAAGTTATGAAAATATATTTTCTATTTTTTTTTTCTAATAAAAACATCTAAGTATAATTTAAACATGTTATTGGTGCATGTATACTAAATGTATACACATATGAAAACTGCAATATATCATGTGGCTTCATAAGTTCCTTTTTAAATAGGATATGGCCTTCCAATTAAAAATTTTTCCATCTCTGGATTAAACAAATGTATTGAATTATTTTTTCTATAGTCTTTGTAATTCTATATAAAAATTTGTTTACTATTATTATTATTATTAATAATCAAAATTATAATACTTTAAGTTCATCTTATGACATGTGTTAATTGTTGTATTAATATCCTATTTTATAATATACATTTTTATTACTGTAATATTTAAATTTTATTGTATTTAATTATTAATTAATCTATATTTTATTTTTTAGGCTGATTTCAATAAAAAAGACATTTTAGGAAGAAATTCACTTCATTTAGCTGCACAAGCTGGAAGTTTAGATGCTGTAAATTATTTAGTTAATAATTGTAAAGTAGATTCAAATAGCCTTTCTGTAAATCATCAAACAGCATTACATTTTGCAGCCAAGGTATGGAATATAAGAAATTTTTTCAAATTTAATATCATATGAATTTTTATGATAATAGTTATAAAAAAAATAAGATTATTTTATTGTACAAAAACTGATAAAATTTTGTATGTTCACTCTAATATAAAAGATATCCCAAAATTAATGCAGGATTTAAATTTTGTGCCATTGTTCTCTAATTGGGTTGGCAGTGCCATATGAAGTGACATCTTCAGTAAACACATTGCAATTAGTTAATATAAAGCAATACACAATGGAGGAGCACATAATGATTATTACAAGTACGAGGAAAGTTTTTCTGTGACTGTGTGCATATTATGTGTATTTTGAACTCTAATATACCGGAATATATTGAGTCTGGGTGTATGTTATTGAAATTAAGGACTGTACAATTCTAATTAGAACAAAACAATGATTTTAATAACAACTAAGGATCAGGGCCAACTAACAGTATGGTTGACAAGGTACAGATGTACTACAGTTTAACGGTGACACGATATAGTCCTAATGACAAACGTTAATTTTCTAAACTTATTACTAAATTACTAGACTAATTTGCATTAAATTTACATACAATTATTTACAAGACGACAAACACATGCTGCCATAACTTTCCTTTGTTCTTCCATTAGATTAGCATCCAAATCTCACCGAACGTCAGACAACAGTTTGTGATTACCCACAAATTCACTTTCTATATGTAGACATATCTAATATATATGACTATCATACGTTTACAATATCGATCTTACTTAGGTCCGTTAACTATAAACTGTCCATACATGCACACCATGAAGCTGTTGATGATAAGTTCTTAAGGATGGAAACAGATTACAGTATCTCCACTCAATGCATTCAATCCTTAGCTGCCTCTTCTATCTCCTGCTATCAGCCAAACTATACCAAACCACGAAGCAAAAAAACAAAAAAGAGAGCTTAAGATGTGAGACGGTCCAATTTATACTCCCTCTGTCATTCATGAATTCTCTCTTAACACATGACTCCGTCCTTGACCAATTAGTCCACTCCAGTTGGTGTAGCAAGAAAGGTGATACAGCATAATATTCCGCGGACATTTATACAAAAAGTAGATCCCGACATGTGGTAATGGAAAATAATTTATATACACACATTATATATAAGCATACATAAAACAACAATAATAAAGTAGTGCAGCACTATACGTGGTATTTTTGGTTGGAGAAACATGCCAAAAGAAATGAGTGCAAAAACTGTGCAAAAAACAACCAATGCATGTCTAATGAGTGACAATTTGGTGTGGATTTTGGACTGGTGGAATGATTGAACCATATTTCTTTGAAAATGAGGCTGAAAATGCAGTTACTGTTAATAGTGTGCATTATTGCGAGATGATATCAGAGTTTTTGTGGCCTCATTTGGACAGCATGGATTTTGGTGACATATAGTTCCAGCAGGATGGTGCCACTTGTCATATGGCACACAAATCAACCAAGTTGTTGCAACAGAAGTTTCATGGGTGACTCATCACACACAGCAGTTATCAGAATTGGCCACTAAGACTGTGTGATCTGACACTGTGCAACTTTTTTCTCTGGGATTTGTAAACTCCAAAGTTATTGCCACTAAAATAAGAACAATTTGTGAATTGAGAGCAGAAATTTGAAAAGTTATCCATCAAATTGGGCTGCAATTGTGCAAAATTGTAATTGAAAATATTGTCAAAAGAATATGAATGTGTCAGAAGAGTTGTGGGGGCATTTGTCAGATATGCTCCCACTACCATAAGTAAACCTAAAGGTAAACATTGCAATTAAATATGGAATATTTAATTGCAGTGTTTACCTTTTAAAATGATGTAACAACTTTGCCAATTAATGAATAAATAATATGTTCTTTTTAAAATTTAAATCCTGTGTTACTTTTGGGACACTATACATAGAAATAAAACTTCTTTGCAAATATAAACACCAACTGAAACCCGATGTTTAGCAAATAGACACCCACAATGGCCATAAATAATCAAGCTATATTTTGGAAATAATAATAATTTATTTTTTTTTTCTGCCAGTTTAATCTAAATTAATTAATTAAATATTATAATTATTAATTTTAATACAAGATGGTGCTTAACACCTCCCTCTAGTGCCAAATTCATTTGTAATTTATAATTATTATTTCCAAAATATAGACTGATTATTTACAGCATTTGTGGGTGTCTATAAACTTCTTTGCTTTTAAAATTTTCAATATTCATTCTTTTATTCTTGCATTTACAAGTTTTAGAACTCTAGTTGGAGAAATCTAAAACAAGGATTTAAATTTCAGAATACATTTGTTTGAAAGAATAAAAGATTAAAATTGAAAAACAATATCTTTAACAAATTTCTTTAATTATGCAGATCAGGTTACCTCTTAGCAGCCTAAATACTAAATTATATATGTATAAAATATAATTGTTTTTAAATTCATCTGATTACTTCAGAATTTCTATTAAACACAGTACCACTACTCAGACATGTAACATTTTCAAGAATTAAAATTGTACTGCATGTTACATGTGCTGTGGTTTATTACAAGTGCAGTTTTCAGAGAAATGTAAAATTTCTATTTAAATTTGCTCTTATATTCACTAGACAATTCTTGTATATCCAAAATTTCTCAGTATATTCAATGTTTGTGCTACCATCCAGCTTCTTCAATATTTGAGTTCCTTTTCAATTTATTTTTGATTTTTTTTTCTATAGAAGTTCTTCTCTTAATACTATGATTTCTAATGATGATTCACAACCCCTACATATATAATATTTCTTCCTTCATTCCTTTCACATGTAGTATTAAGCATATTCCTAATACATCAAGTATGTTTTAACGTGTTCCAAACCTTATTATTTCTTAGTTGAATAAATAACATCAGATTCCTTTTGAAGACTATCTTCAGTGGTGTAGTGTAGTGGGGGTGGCAGGGGCGGCCTGCCCCGGGCAGCACTTTTTAGGGGGCAGCAAAATTTCACAATAAATAATAATAATATCTTGTAAAAATTTGAACCATTTCATTTCGTATTTTTGTCGCACCTAGGATTTGGACCAATTGAAATGAGCACGAAATTTTTCATTACTTATTCTGTGATGAAACTGAATTTTCGTCTTTTAAATTGAGATACCTAAATAAGGGGACTGTGAAATTTTCCTCCACCCCGGGTGGCTGACACCCACGCTACGCTACTGACTATCTTACTCTGTGTCAATCTATTTAACTCTTTGTAAAGGTTCAGTTTTAACTAGAAATAAAGTATAATGGAATCTTTTTTTACATTCACAGCCTTTAAGAGCATTAAATCTTTTAATAACTAACATTTTCATTCATATTTAATGACTGTCCTTAGGTTTACAAATTTTCAATTGAATAATTTAGAATGCAAAAAATGAGACATAAATATTTGAGAACCAAACAATTTTTAATAAATAAATTAATAAAAATACAATAACAAAAATAAATGTTACCCTCAAGGATAGAAAAACAAGAAAGGATAAAAAAATAAATACAGTAGAGTCTCTGTAATCCAACATGTATCAGACTAGCAGATGTAAGATTACAGCAGATTGTCAGATTACTAGATTTTGTATGTGTGTACTGTATGTACTGTACAGTAAAGAAAAATGCATTTGGTTTACAGGTTAGTTTGTCATATTAATCACAATTGTGACTGTTTTGCCAACCACACATGCAACAAACAACTAGTGACTGACAGTATACACATATAGTACATCAGTCTCTCTCTATTGCACCACCCTGCAGATTGCCAAATTACAGGACATGTCAGACTAACAAGCAACAGACTATAGAAACTCTACCATATATAACTTTGAGAATGACAGCCGATAATTATATAATTAGTGCTCAATGATGAGTTAACTCACCAGGAACACATAGTGTTACAAAAAAATCAGTCCTTAAGGAAATCAAAAAAAAAAAAATTTAGAATGTTTTCCATAAACTCAAATTTGTTCATAATTTTTTAGCCACACGAAAAATTTTTATAACAATTTTAATATAAAGGACTTTTTTTTTATCATACCTATCTCCAACTTTAGGTTATCTATTTTTGTTCATATTTTACTTTATTATGTATCTAATTTTTTGTCCTTTGTTTTTGCTACCCTTGTGGGTAGTATTTATTTTTGTTTATTGTATTTTTATTATTTATCTATTTATTTTATGTTTCTATTATTTGTATTTATAGTATTTATTTCTGTTATTTTTATTTTGCTATATTTGTTTCAATTTAAAAATTGAAAAAAAAAAAAAAAAAGGTCCAATTCTTGAATTCTAAATTTTTCAATTGAAAGTTTGTAAATCTGAGAATGGTCATTAAATATGACTGAAAACATTAGTTGTTAAATTTTTTTGTTGCTCTTAACTCTTAAGTATTGATGTGCAGTCTATGGGACTACATCAGTTTTTAAAATCCTGTTTTCTCTCTTTCTTGGTATGCAGATAAGGAGTCAACTTCTAGTCATGTCCATGTCTATGTCATTCTGTAAAGTCAGTGTTTCAGAAGAGATTAGGTTTTTCTGATATGATAGGCACAGTCCCAGAGACCACACATCAATGATTATGTAACTTTTTTTGGTACTGGTCTTTGCACATGTTTCATTATGAATCGACTTTTCTGATGACATTTTCCTTCCTCAAATGCCCATAAGCTTTTTGGGATGTTTCTGGTTCCTCACACTTATTGCATTTCAAGTCAATCAACAGATGTGTCTCATTCGGTGTTGCCACTCTTTCAAAGCTGTTTACCCACACAACTGTACCAACAATAAAATACTAAATATTATTGAAGCCATTCACCTGGGCATTATGTAGATCAGCAACATTAAAATATATATACTCCACCAGTATTAAAACATATATCATCTAAGTAGCTATGAAATTTGTCCCTCACAACTGATCCATTGTTCTCTAAACATGTCATTTAGATTTATTTTTAAAATTAATTCAGAAATGAGTACTGCTTTTGAATCATATTAAGAATTGCCTCCTCCAGAATGGGAATGAGTGAGGGTTTATTTTTATGGCATTAAAAAGGCCCTTCAAAAATATTAAACTTTCATTCTTATCAATTTTGTTTATTAAAAGCATTTTTTCTGAGTTATTCACTTGTAACACCTTATGTGAAACATGCTGTATATATATCTAAAAATAATGTCAATTAAAAGTTCAATATTGTTCTAGTTATGTTTGTAATTTAATCCATTTCTACTTGCATAATGTTAAAATGATCTTGTTTCTTCCATTTAATGTCCTAAGAAAAATATCCTAAGTGTTAACTATCATCTTATTTTAAAATTAAGGATTAAATCTTTCACAAATTTCAGTAAAATTTATTTATGCATAAATCATATTTTTAAGTGAATAGTGATATTCTATTTAAGAAAACTTAAATTTCAGATTAAAAATCAAAGTGGTGATTATCATTCTGTTTATATTTCACCATACAACTTCATTTCTTGTAGTAACATGAAGAAAATATCTTTTATAATAATTACAGAATATAATAGTATTACAAATACATATTTATTTTAGATATATAAAATTTTATTTTGTTGTTGCCGGTTGTACCAGATAAGCAGCAATTTTTTGTATTATGTGAATACTGATAAATTTATAAAACTTTTCTTAATTAAGCAATTTGTAAATATATATCCTGTCATATGATATACTGTATATTGTTATATTTTATGTTCGTAATTAAAAAATCAATAAATTAATATGGTTCTTCATACTTATATAATGTATATTTACACTTGTTATAATTAATAATAATCATACATGTAACATCTAATAACTTGTAGAGGAGAAGGTGGTATTATGGAACCCCAATTACATTTTAGTGAATTGTAAACAAGGTATCATAACTACACCCACATTTTTTGTGCGAAAAGTACTGGTAACTAGTAAACTAAATGTTCCTAATTGGATTTTTCGCTAGTGTAACTATAAGTATGGATTTTGAAGGCTTTTTGTACAAAAAGTCCGAAAGTAGGCTTAGAGAAAATCGGGTGGTAATATGGAACCTTACTGTATATTTTCAAAAAAAATGCTTTAATGTGGCCAAAAACAAATAGGAAAGGACAAAAAATGTTAAATAATTACAAAATTATTTACTCCAATGTATATTATCGAATGAATGCTTTTATAATAGAAAAATATGACCTCCATCAACAATATATATTCCAGNTTTATTATTTTGTGAAGTTTGAAACAGGAAAAACAATTTGATGATTTATATATTAAATATTTAAAACTTGTTAATTGTAAAGGACTTCATTCAAATTGTTAATGTGTATATTTCTATAAATAAATTTATTATTAAACTGATAAAATTTATTTTGGATTTAGGAAATAAACTTATTAACAAAATGTAATATTTTGTTAGGAAGGTCAAGAAGACGCTGTTAGTTTACTTCTCCAACTTGGAACAGATTGTAGTGTTATAGACAATAAAGGAAGAACTGGTAAAAAATATTTAAATTACAAAAACTTTATATACAAATTTTATAATTTATTTTTAATATATTTTTAAGTTAAGTTTCTAATTATTTTTGGTTTAAAATAACGATAAAATTAATTCTTGATGAGTTAAATTTGTCAGAAATGTCTAATGAAGTAAAAAAAATTTAGGAGGAATATAATTTTTTACAAATAACAATAAAAAAAACATTTATTTAGTCAGAAAAATTACAATAAAAATTTCATATAATTTCAAATTAAGTCTGTATTACCAAGTTTAGTAAGACAGAGTGAAAGTACAGGTATACCTCGCCTTACGTCGGTAATTGGTTCCAGGAGAACGACTTAAGTCGAAAAACGACATAAGTCGAATTTACTTGTCTTCAAATCTACTTGTCACTAGGCTAAGCCATAAATTGCAAATTCCGGTTCTGTATTTTATAAATGCATTTTTAATAATATATGGTTAATAAGGATCTATTTTAAGCTTACAAACAAATAAATTTTAGTTTTTAATATAGTACAGAAAAAAAGTAATCTAAATTTACAAATGCATGTACTGTAAATACAGTACATACTTGTAAATGTATATATTTTAATATGATTTTATGTGCTTTAAACATTTTTCTAGTGATATTACGACTTCAATATTTGTGGCGGACAAACGTAAAGTCGAATAAAATGACTTAAATTTGATTTTTATTTTTCCATATACTTTTTTGACAAACGATGTATAATAGGGAACGACGTAACAACTCGAAATGACGTAAGTCGAGGTATACCTGTATTATAAAATTATGAGAATTTCTGGGACAATGATGATTAATATTATAGGAAAATTTCTCATTACAGATTAAAAAAGAAAAGATATATAATTAGATGTGGTTAGTAAGATCAACTGACTCATATTTACGTAATAAACATCACTTCTAATATAAACTGTAATTTATTTTTGTTCAAATTATGGGTCAAAATTTCAAATAAATTTGAATGTAAATTTAATATCTATGGAGAATGACATTACAATTTACTTAATTCAGATTACCAAAAATTATAATTATCTGACTTTGAATTAATAAAAATTTGCTGTTAAATATTATCTTAAACTTTAAATATTAACAGTTATTTTATGAACCTCAAACTGATTGTTTTTGTCTTATCATCAAGAACTTTTTAGCCATATAATTCTAATCCTTTATTAAATTTATCTGGGTATTATAGAATTAAAATAGAAAATTATGAAAGAATATAGGAATATATACTTTGGATTTATCACTTAATAATGTAATTTGAAAGATTTGTATGGAAGTTGCAGAGATATTAAGCAGCAGGTACTGTTATAGCCAATGTGAAACAGTCCCAGTACCTTCATAATTTGCTATGAAAATATCTTGTTGTAGTGGGGAACCTGAGGTNATAGGTAATGCTCAAGGAGAAAGACACATGACTCCTTTTTTTTTGGGGAGAATGTTATTCAGTTTAATACTTTGAATTATTTTATTTACCTAATTGATGTCATGTGATATGTTTTGTTATATTTATTTTATTTTAAAGTAACAAAACCAATTGCTTTGATATCAGAAGGGTGCTGCAGCATCATAAGCATCCTCCTGGATATGCCCCTGTAAAGTTTGAATATTTGTAACAGTTTTCTTAACATATTTGAATGTATTTAAAATTAGCTCAACATAGACTTAATATTTTCATAAGTTATCTTCTCTTTTTACACACAAACAATCATCAAGTTTTCTTTTACTCTATCTTCCTAAATGTTTTTCTAATATTTGAATGTATATATATTAATAAGTTATATTATATTAATAATAATCACTTTTTTTCTCTTCTAATAGCTTATCATATTGCTGAAAGTGTTGGACATAAGAAATGTTATGAACTATTGAAGAAAAATAACTAACTTTCCTAATTTTCAAAAGAATTTTTGTGAAATTATCTTCATAAAAAATTATCTTGACATTAATAATAAATTTTAATGATAGAGCACAATAAATTATAATTTAAAACTTTCTATTTTTCTTTATTGTAAAAATAAATTAAATAAAAGTCATATTAAAATAAATTAAAAACTGTTTTTAGAAAAGAAAGAAATAAACTTTATTTTGATGTAGAAATATTGTTATATCTTTCACTATAATTCACATAAAACATTAATTTTAATTACACAATGGACCACAATTTGCAATTTCCAAAAACTGGAACTTATATCTATGTTCAAAAAAATCAACCTAAGTAGTTTTTCAGTAGTGGAATACATGATTTACTAACGTTTTGGACTATGTTCACTAGTCTGCTTCAGGTCTAACTGGAACTTCATATTTTTTAAATAAATGGAATGCCTCAATCTACTATTCTAATATAATTACAATCTACTATTCTAATTCTCAATCTACTATTCTCAATCTAATGGAATGCCTATTCTACTGCTGGAAAAGTACTTGCATTGGCTTGTTTTCGAACAGTGATCACAAAGAATAAGTGTTCAGAGCATTTTGTAGGACGAAGTATTGAGCTAATCTCAACCAAATTTGATATACATACTAGAGATGGGAGATCCAGTTCCAGCAGCAGAACTGTTGGAACTGATCTGAGTGCGGAACTGTTAATTATAAGAAATTAATGTGAAGTTTGTTGCTGCTTGTTTGAAATAAGCTTATGGATTCTTGGCTCTTTTCTACGAAGACGACAACCGCACTCACAACATTATTTACTGTTGATTATTTATTGACATTAGTCTATTATTTATTGATAAGTCATTTCGTGTTTGGTTTTGTACGCGAATAAAAAAAAAACCCGCAATGAGTAAGAATAATGCAACCGAGCATTTTGCATTTCTTTCGTAATACTTCCCATAACCTTGGGTTGATCAATGTCCAAATTTCACTACGGACCACCAACATTTTCTCTTGGACCACTGGTTGGTGACCGTTGGACAATACAGTTTTCTCGGAACAATTAGGATAGACGGTTCCTCGGAATCATTACGTAACGTCGGAATTTCTTAACCTGTTGGACTAGACCAGTGTTTCTCAAAGGGGGCGATATCGCTTCCATGTGGGCGTTTTTCCATGCTGAGGGGCGATTAGTAACAATTTATATTTTGGGGGCGAAAAACAATTTTTTGGGCTATATAGTAAAACATTATATTAATAATAATTAGATATTTTATTCGTTATATAGTACAATAATTAAACAAATAACATACTAGTCACTAGTCTATTCAATGCAGTACGAATTGGTGTTAGCCTTGGCCATTGGCATCAGAATTTTGAAGTGAAGGGGCAATACTACATAACGGCTTTATTGAAGGGGGCAATACTACATAACGGTTTTATTGAAGGGGGCGACGATTCATTAGAGGTTGAGAAACACTGCTTTAGCACAAAGACAGAAGTAACAGTTATATTGGTTTTGAAGAAAATCTTCATAAAACAAGATGAATAATAATAGGTAAAAATTCACAAAGTGAAAAACGATCAAACATCAGCCTTTTATTTGAAGATCTGACACTTTTATATCAAAAAACAAATAAATCTTCTCACCATACTATCAAGTCCTTCACAAATTTATAACTGATTCAATCCCTCTGGTGGTAGGTACAAGTTATCCATTTCATTTGCATAATTTCACAATGTTCAATGATAACTCCAGATATATTTTTCTTCAATATTTGAAGTTAAGACTATTTACAAAAATATAAATACATTTTTAAGTTTATCTTTTAATCCTTTAACACAACCACAGAAGTAACAATTATATTGGTTTTGAAGAAAATCTTCAAAACCAATATAACTGTTCCAAATATTGAAAATGTATTTATACTTTTGTAAATAGTCTTAACTTCAAATATTGAAGAAAAATATATCCGGAGTCATCACTGAACATAAAGAAAGTTAACACAATGGACCATAGATCTTAATTCCAGTAATACACATAATACATAGTCCAATCCAAATATAAATAAGCCTATGCTAAACACATTATTTTCACAAATGCATTGTGATAGAGCTTGTACTTTACAGGCCTTTTTGTACTCATTATGAGCAGTAAGGGCATAAAAAAAAAAAAAAGCTTATACTGTGCACTATAGTAACTGTAGTTCAGCAAACATATCTGCACACTGACAACTCAGACACAGACTTTTGAAACTTATCTTTTGCCCATTGTATCAGATTTGCAGTTGTTAGGCATCAGTTTGTCCAAATATAGCAATAAATGATACGGCATTCATGTGAACTGAACCTGCATGTGCTTTTCCAAGTTGATTGGTTCCAGTTAATTTGTATTTGGTAAGTATACCATAGACTGTGGACTGCCAAAGCATATGCATATAATTGATATGGCAAATGCAGTCACACATTTCAACTTCCTATTTTCATACTGTTGAATGATAATTTGCAGCACAAGATCTGAAATAAGTTTGCCTCATGGCATTTTAAGGACCACACTACAACTACAGTAGAAAACCTTAACTACCCTAGTTTTTGATAAATTCTGCAGCAGTTTATANCCCCCCCCCCCCGATGGCCAGCCCTGCTCGGAATCTGAGGAAAATACAGTATCAGGAAACCTGGACTCCTTACTCCTTCCCTGATTTCATCCTTCTTTATTAAGTCCTAAACCCTTTGTCCCATCCGCACCAAATTTTTCATGTATTAGTTGTATTTATACCACAAAACGACTCACGGGCGATCTGCTGAGGAGATGCCTCCCGGAAGGACTTTATGGGAAACACCCTTATGTAGGAATTACAAACGTGAAGAACACTCGAAAAACTCCACATGGCCAGCCCATTGGCGAGGCGCGAATCCACGATCAAACTACCAGTGTTCAGTGTTTTATCCAATCAGTGGATAAATTTCTGGTTCGCACGGATCCGATCCCAGGTCCTCGGGTCCCCAGACTGTTGGTAGCTGCCTCCACCGTCAGAATTCGGGGTTCTAAATGACCATTTCGCTCCTAAATGCAATAGAGATTTTAGTAGTACTGTATAGTAGGACTACCTATAAATGGATGTAATACTATACAGAAATACATTTTCAAAAAATATTCAATTACACATGAATAAAAATTAGAAGTGTCAAGTTTCCCTATAATTAAAAAAAAAAAAAAAAAAAAAAAAAAAGGATATTTTAAATGAAAAGTTATTAGGTATGCTGATTCTGTTGTAAAAACAAATTCATTTAAATGGCGACATTTCTTCTCTAAATTTTCGTAACTTCCNACTATGAATCATTAAAACGTTTCTTTTAGCATTAATAAAAATTATTTAATAAGATAATTTAGTTGTTCTGATAAAACGTATTAATTAAAGGTATAGTTTACTTTGCATATGCACTATGTCAAATTAAGGAATTCAAAATGACAGCCAATACAATGAAATTAAATGAATATTTCATATAAGTGAGCTCTAAGTTTTCATTTTATTTTTAAACTAGTTTGTTACGTCCGGCTTTCCCCGGGTTTATAAAGTACCCCTCGCAGTAATTGTTACACCCGGAGTTATTAATCGTAATTTCAAAAATATATGCAGTAAAACCAATTTTAAGAACATTATCAGAATGCCTATAACTACTTGGGAAGTTTTTCTCGTAAATAGCGAGTTTAAAGAAAAATTATTAAAGTTTTGCGGAAAAATTTTTTTAATTATGTTCTTTTTTGTATAAATTATAATTAGTTTACTATTTTAAAAAATTTTGCTAATAGATGGCGCTACACGTAAACCCAGCAAATTCTATGTAGACAAAAATTAATTAATATATAGAAATCCAATCAATATTTTATGGTGATATGTACGACGTTATCTAAGTTAGTAGTATTTTAACGGAACTGCCGTGTTTCGTAGCAATTGGTCGAATGGCCTAGGAGTGTATAGCGAACAAACAAACAAATATTTTCATTTATAAATGTAGAAGATTATTCATTTTTATCATAAAACTTTTAACTGATGACAAAAATTTAAATAAAAATATTTATTATTAGCCGAAAATTTGTTCTAGCGAGTCGTGATCGTCAGGTCGAGTATCGAGGTACCACTGTAGGCCTATTTGATTAACGCGATTTTGATATACGCGGTAGCATCGAGGGATTAGTTAACAGCGTTAATCAAGGTATATATATATATACGTGTATATACAGGTATCTTCTTGCGTAACAGTATTTCTTCAGTAGGTATAGTGCCCTTTTTTTATAGACTGAGAGCGCCACTGTTTCCTATGTATCCTGAGGTGTTCCTATTTAAGTGTTCTTACTTCTTTGATCGTGTCAAAACATGATCGAACACAGGAAAGAATGTCCAACTCTGTATTTTAACATGTTTGAATGTGTCTATACATGAATAAAAAAAACTTTTAGCGTATCTAAGAGCTTTTTATTCATCTAAACATTCTCGCGCATGTTCTGATATTTATTATACAGTACGTTCGAAATTTATATGTAGATAATAGTATGTCTTAAACATCTATTAACATAAATTTATTATACCAAGCATCAAAGAGAAGAAAAAAAAACTTCAAAATAGTATTTTTTTATATTTTTTATATTTGTTTGAATATATTTTTATTTTATATTTGTATACTATTTAAAACAATGCAATAAAAATATTTTATTAATAATATTCCAGTATGCATGATTACAAAATGATAGATTTTGCAAAACAGAATTAAAAACAAAATACAAATTTTATTTTTATTAAAAAACTCTAAAGTGTAAAATATAGTTTAAATAAATTCATTTGTTTTGTTAAGTCATGGCAAAGCAACACTAGGGCGATTGCCCAAGTGGATGCCTTCCGAGAGATCTTTTTAAGGGTAATTGACCACTATTCAGGCGTTACAGACTTGAAGAAAACCCGGAAAACTCCATGTGGCCAGCCCACCCTGGAGAGGCGCGAACCTACGATCAAACGCCCAGTGTTCAGGGAACGGAACACTGGTGGGCACTGGTGGGCCTTGAAGTTTATTGGACATCCAGACTTGTAGTTACAG